TTAGGGGTAAGTTTTTGAGGCAGCTTTTGAAAGTAATTTTGACCTTATGTGAAATCTGTATCTTCTGAACAAATTTTAGTTTTGCTACACTGATGTGTTAATGGCTGAAAGTTTACCTCTGATGCTGAGTATGCTGAATTTTTTTTCCTTTTCTGACTATCCTTTTGTGAAGCTGCATTTTAATTCCTCATGTGAACAGTCTTCCACAGGCAGTTAGATTTCAGGTTTAAAAAACTCATTTACCACAGGTATAATTTTGAGTCTGTTTATTTTGATGGGAAAAATTTTAAATACTCCTTTTTTCCCCCCTGCAGAACATCCAGTCATGGATAAAAATGAGCTGGTTCAGAAGGCCAAACTGGCCGAGCAGGCTGAGCGATATGATGACATGGCAGCCTGCATGAAGTCTGTAACTGAGCAAGGAGCTGAATTATCCAATGAGGAGAGGAATCTTCTCTCAGTTGCTTATAAAAATGTTGTAGGAGCCCGTAGGTCATCTTGGAGGGTCGTCTCAAGTATTGAACAAAAGACGGAAGGTGCTGAGAAAAAACAGCAGATGGCTCGAGAATACAGAGAGAAAATTGAGACGGAGCTAAGAGATATCTGCAATGATGTACTGGTGAGAATCAATTGAGTCTCGCTTCATTATACTGTAAGGTTCCTATGAGTATCAGTTACATTACTCTCAACGTTTTCTTCGGTTTATTTTTTTCTTTCTAAACATTGTGTGTTCAAATTTAAAAGTCTTCATGGTGTCGTAACTAAAAAGATATTAAGACAATTATAGATACGTGTATGTAAAGTAATTGTAATAATGATGATGAAACAGTTCAGTTTTAAAAATAACAGACTTTAGTATTGTATTGTGTATTAATTGAAAAGATAAACTAATAGTATTACTGCTTTACTTATGGTTAGAACATTTGTGGTAGCTCTATAGCTGGTTATCTTAAATGTACATCTATGGATAAAGGAATTTTACATATTTTATGTAAGAGAGATGTAATAGGATACTGATTGTAGAAATAGTACTCTTCTCAGGATTAGCCGCTATAATGTTAATGTAATGAGTCAGCCATGCAGAAAACTCTGGCGTCACGACTATGAAACCTCTTTCCTGCATTGAATTCTTGAAAATAAATTTTGAACACTCGCAACCATGATGAAAGGTTATGAATAACTCAAGCTTGATTTTTTCCAGTTTGAATTGAGTATTTTAAGTATTCAGTACCTACTGTGTTGAAGCACTGCGCTTAAAATGATTAAACTACATTTTGGTTAATTTTAATCTGTCATACAAAGTAGGGCTTTTTGATCAAGAATAGTTTAAATTTGAGGATAAACTAGTAGAAAATCCAAGCTGGCAGTTTTTGGAATAATATTTAAAGTGATTTTGCTAAATGGTTACACTTAACCAGTATGGCAGGACTCTGATATACAAAGAGGGGCAGCAGCATCGCGATTTTTCTGGACAGGTTACTGAATGTGGGACTCAGTATGGAAATCCAGGTGTGTTACTTACTATATGAACCTTATTTATATGGAAGAAGTACTGTAATGAGCAATAGGATAATATCTGATGTGGTTGTGGGTTTGGGGTTTTTGTTACAGTTGTGATGATGCTATCATTTCTTTACACTTGTATTTACTAATGGAATAGCATCAGTTCCTAAACTGTGTTTTTCTCAAATGATACTTGACACTGTCTTTTAAAATAATAGTGATTTTTAAAAACATGCTTATTTGGGTTCACAATCACAAACTCAATGAGACATCTGTCTTGGGGCTTTTTTTTTGTTGTTCTTATTGAAACCTTTACAATGATAGCTGTTATTTGTATCTAAGTTGAAAAAAGGAATATCTTGCCTTTATTGAGGCCAAGTGACAAATACCTATCTTGTGATTTTGCTAAGGTAATAAGAATATTTAAATTTTGAAAATGTGATTTTTTTTTTTCTATAATAAAAAAATGTATTGGGTTTTTTTTTTTTTTTTTCCTTTCTCTCCTTACTAATATCTGTGTAAGTGTAACTCAGTTTTGTTCAGTCTGGTGTTACACTTGATCAAAAAGTTTTTATTTGGGCTTCAAAGGATGTGTTACAAGTTAACATTTCCCTTAAGACAAAAGTCAATTTTAGGAATAAAAAGGAATGTGACATTTACCTTTTAATAACACGCTTATTTGCAATACCAGGTAGGTATGTGCATGTTTTCCATATACAAAGTATGAAAGTTCTTGTCATTGTGAGTCTTCTCCTGGGAAAAGACTTGTAGCAGGTTTGTTTTTTTTGTGTTTCTTTTGAGACTGAGTTTTGCTCTTGTTGCCCAGGCTTGAGTGCAATGGCATGATCATAGCTCACTGCAACCTCAGCCTCCCGTGTTCAAGCAATGCTTCTGCCTTGACCTCCCTAGTAGTTGGAATTACAGGGCGTGTGCCACCACGCCCAGCTAATTTTTGTATTTTTAGTAGAGATAGGGTTTCACCTTGTCGGCCAGGCTGGTAACCAGGTCAGGTCTAACTCCCAACGTCAGGTGATCCGCTCGCCTCAGCCTCCCAAAGTGCTGGGATTACAGGGGTGAGCCACCATGTCTGGCCCAACTTGTAGCAGTTTTGACTATGCTTCCCTTTGGTTTCCTTATCAAGAAAAATTTTTTGCATAGAACCAGTAGATGAGGATGACAAGATAATCTCTTAATATTAATAGCTTCTTCTTGTTACGATTATTAAGGAGTTTGATTCTGGTCCCTACCCACATTGTTACCCTCTAGAATAGCACTGGCTTCTTAAAAAGTCTAAATGGTATTTACACTTTGAAAGTTTGGATGAATGAGAGTTTTCTTTACTATACAAGTGGGTTCGAAGAGAATACTAAACAAGCTTTGGCTTCCAGCCTTAGTCTTTTTAAGAGTAAGACTTAGTGATCTTTGCATACTCAGAAC